TTTTCGAGGCAGGGGTTTTCTGTGGCTTTGGAGGCTGTCCTGGAACTAGTTCTTGTAGACCAGGCTGGTCTCGAACTCACAGAGGTCCGCCTGCCTCTGCCTCCCGTATGCTGGGATTAAAGGCATGTTGGGGTGGTGGTGGGGGAGCACAATGTTCTTATATAGGCTTCCAGCAGAAGGTGTGTCCCAGATTAAAGGTGTGCCTTCCAGTCTCAAGGTCTGGATTCAAGGCTTGTGTTTTCCAACCTCAAGATCCAGATCAAAGGCATATTATCTTCTTGCCTCAAGATCTGGATCACAGGTGTGCTCTCCATTTCTGGATTATAGTTCATTCCAGATATGGTCAAGTTGACAACCAAGAACAGCCATCGCAGAGCCTTAGGAGAAGCCTCCCTGTGCTTGGACCAATGTGGAGGCATGTGGATAGACTCTCTCTAAGGCACAGACCAGGGCACAGAACCCATAAACCCACCCCTCTGTTATACAAGCTTTTTGTTGTTGTTCACACTAATGTGAACATTATCTCCAAGTATCTAGACACTATCTCCAGGATGTATGTGAATGTAAAGTGTATGTGTTTGACATGTTATAGTCCATTCTGGCTTTCAACTCTCCATTGTCCTGCTTCAGCCTCCTTAGCACAATGATTGCAGGTATGTACTACCAAACAATACTAACAATCTGTCTTCATTACCAAGAAAGTAATATGACAGAATGACTTGGGCCAGGCAATCTCCTGGAGCATCTCTTAGTAACTGTTTTATTTGAAAGAGGTAGCCCAGGGTAGCCTTGTACTGTGTAGTAAAGTGATGGTCTTGAACTTCTGATCTTTCTTCTTCCACCTTCCAAGGGCTGAAATAACATGCATTTACCACCAAGATGGACTTAGTTTACCTTAAAATTTACTTAGCCTCATCCTAAACAATAATTTATGAATCCATGGGCTTAGTGTGTTGGTTATAGAATATACATACATACATACATACATACATACATACAATATATTGTAGGACTGGAGTGAAGGTTCAGTGATTGACATCACTGCTGGTTTCCAGATGACCTGAGTTTGACTTCCAGCACCCACATGGCAGCTCACAAGCATCCATAAACATATATATTTGTAAGGGATCTGATGCTTTCTTCTGGTGTGCAGGTATACACACAGACAAAACAACCATATACATGAAAAATCTTTAAAAATTAATATATTGTTATAAATAATAAATACCACCAATATCTACCTAGTCTTTAACTCTTCTCTCTCTCTCTTTCGTTTTTTTGTTTTGTTTTGTTTTTTTGTTTTCTTTTTGAAACAGGGTTTTTCCATGTAGCAGCTTTGGCTGTCCTGGAACTATTGCTGTAGACTAGGGTGGCCTCCACCTCACAGAGATCCACCTGCCTCTGCCTCCCAAGTGCCACCACAGGTTGCTGAGAGAGATCCTTTCTTTATAAACAAAACAAGGCCTAGAGATGGCTCTGTGGTTAAGATCACTGATTTCACAGCCGTGGTGGCACACACCTTTAATCTCAGCCTTTGGGAGGCAGAGGCAGGCAAATCTCTGTGATTTCAAGACTATCCTAGTCTGACACTCATGTCAGACGGCCCACAACCCCCTGTAACTCTAGCTCCAGGGGATACAACAACTCTGCTGGCCTTCACAGGCAACTACAGACACACATATGGGTAAAATAAATCTTTGAAAAATAAACAAAAATAAGGCTACCCTAGACTACAAAGTTGAGTTTGAGACCAAACTGGGTTACATAAAAAAACCTAGTGGCAATATGCAACCAAATACAATAAAAAAAGCACATTGAAGTGCTAAGAACACTGACTTCCTTGTGGATTCTTAGGAATTACCCTAGCACCAGGTTTCTCCTTAACCCCTTAGTGGCTCTCTCTATTAAGATATCTCTTTCATTGCTCTTCCACTGCCCACCCCCACTATCCCGTTTTCTCATGTTCTCATCCTTCCTCCCCTCTCTTACCACCCTGAGGAGTGGACTGCGGATGGGCTGGGAATGGAGTCGAGGAAGGGTGGGAAGGAGAACTGTGGTTGGAATGTAAAATGAAATTTAAAAAGAATATATATATATATGTATATATATATGTATGTATACACACACATACATAAATACATACATACATACATACATACATACATACATACAACCACTGACTTCATTGGACAGTGGTGACCCTACTCCTCCCACTTGGGAGGCAGAGGCAGGGGGATCTCTGTGAGTTTGAGGCCAGCCTGGTCTACAGAGCAAGTTCAGGACAGCCAAGGCTACACAGAGTGACTCACCTGTCTTAAAAAACAAAGCAAAACAAACAAAAAAAGAGCACTGACTTATTCCAGAAGATCTGAGTTCAATTTCCAGCATCCACATGGTAGTTAATAACTGTCTATAACTTCAGTTGCAAGAGAATTCAACACGGTACCCACATGGTACATAGACATCCATGCAGAAAAAGTACCCTTACACATAAAATAAAGAATAAATCTCTTTCTCCATATATAAAAAAAAATTATATATATGTCACACTGAAGTCAGGCTGATAACCCCAGAGGCTGAAGCAAGACAGCTGTTCTGAGATTGAGGTCAGTTTGAACTACATAGCAAGAATCTGTCTCAAAACATAACCCCAAATCAAGCCGGGCGTTGGTGGCGCACACCTTTAATCCCAGCACTTGGGAGGTGGAAGCAGGCGGATCTCTGTGAGTTCGAGGCCAGCCTGGTCTCCAGAGCGAGTACCAGAATAGGCTCCAAAGCTACACTGAGAAACCCTGTCTCGAAAAACAAATAAACAAAAAACAAAAAACAAAACAAAAACAAAAAACCCCAAATCATAAAATGGGGATATCCAGAATAGTACCTTCTGTATAGGATATTGTAAAGATAAACCATCCTAAAAAAACCCTTTTAAATAGTTGAGGTCTGTGGTGAGGGGAAAGATGTGGTACTAGGGCTATTATGTAGCCTTTGGACTTGCTATAGTTAGTTATTACCTTTTAAAATAGTAAGACTAGGGCTGGAGAGATGGCTCAGCGGTTAAGAGCACTAGCTGCTCTTCCAGAGGACCTGGGTTCAATTCCCAGCATCCACATGGCAGCTTGTAATTGTCTGCAGTTACAGTTCTGGAGGATCTGATACCATCATACCAATGCACATAGAATAAAGTTAAATAGATTATTTTAAAAATAGTAAGACTAGGTTTAGCCCTTTTATTACTTCTAATTATATGTATTTGTGTGTTTCATGTGTGGGTACGTGCACACTAGTGTGGGTAGAGTTCCAGGTGAACCTACTGATGTAGGTGCTGTGCACTAGTCTTCAGTCCTCTGGAAGAGCAGTAAGCATTTGCAACTGCTGAGCCATCTCTCCAGGCCCATCAATCATTTATTTATTTTAAGTGTATGGCTGTTGTGTGTACATGTCTGTCTGTGTACCATGTGCATGCTGGATATACACAGAGGCCAGAAGAGGGTGTCAAATCCCTGGAATGGGAGTTTCGTATAGTTGTGAGCCACCATGTGGGTGTTGGGAATCAAACACTGGTCACCTGGAAGAGCGGCCAGTGCTCTTAATCACTGAGCCATCTCTCCAGCCCTTCAGCCTCAGTTTTTTAAGACAGCCTTTCATGTTGCTGAGATGACCCTGAACTCTACCTATCAAGGCATATGTCATCAGACCTTAGGTTCTCCAAGAGCTGAGCAGTCCCATTAATCTAGTGGAACAAACAAAAGAAAAGAAAAATGACAACAAACAGACTTTGCATGATTGGGAAGTGAGTGAAATCAGTGAAATAAAAGTGAAGGATTCCAGGGAAACAAAGGACAAGAAACTCTTTCTTAAAAGGCCACTTTATTGATAGAGATAAATCCAAATGCAGTTCTCCACAGCCCTCCCCTCACTCCGTCAGCGGCTTCACTGGGCATTTGAGTTGTGTGTAGCCTGTCACTGGTTTGGGCTGCCCTTGTGGTCAGGGGGACACATTCAAAACACATCACAGCTCACAAAGAGCAGAGGACAGTCTTGGACTCCCCTCCCCCCCCACGGTTTCTGTACATCCTCCTCTTTGTAATATTGTACAAAATACGTTACCTAGGGCAGGTTAGCTGTGCTGTGTCGTCTGCAGCACTTCTTTTTGAGGGTTATCGTTCCCCAAACATGACTTTTTTTATTGCAGGGAAATCTCTAAAAGTTGTTGCTGTACAAAAAGAAAACTCTAGACAATTTGAAGAATAGCAGCCACTTAACACTGCTTTAGTTCATTTAAATTTTCTTTCCCAAAAATACATTCCTAAATATACAAACTATACAATCTTGTCATTTTAATGCTGGTTTTTTTGTTTGTTTGTTTGTTTGGTTTGTTGTTGTTGTTGTTATGTCATTGTTTAAATATAACAAGAAAACCTGAACTAAAAAGTCTGTCATCTTCAAACCAACAAGAGCGCTTGGGGACTTGTGACTTGGTACCTTCATATAATGCCTCATAAATAACTTTAGCCACAGTCAACCTTCACAGCATGGTCCGTGAAACAAAAAAATACTTTTCTGGTGGTTAGACGTCATCTGCAGAGAGAGCTGGAATGTTCATCCGAGGCCGGGTGAAAAATGCCATCTTCTCCCTGTGATAGAGAACAGGTGTCTCA